ATATATATATATATATATATATATATATTTGCACATATTTTGGTAAATTTGGAAAAATATTTGGAAAAATGTTTATCCTTTTGCCGTCAATGAACAACGTAAGGAAAAAAAAGGTTAATTACTTATTTAATTAAGAAAATGTAGGTTAAGAAACATCTCCAACGTGCATGATCTATATAATTTTCTCTTTTTGCATTTCATTTTTTTTCGTGGCTTTAATTCAAATATCAAAAATATCATTTAATATGTAAAACATAGATGTTTAAAAGAATACATCCCTATGAATGAGAGCAGGTGTGGCGATCCGCAGGAAAATAATGTATTTTTTATATAAATATTGCTCTTAAATTTTCTTCGAAAAAATGTGGATGCTATAAAGTCTTCCAATTAACTTGTTGTTTTAATTTGAATATTTGTTTCCTTTTTTTCATAATCATATGTTTGAATATTTCTTTTATAAAATATGGTATATATAAGAAAAACATTAAGCAAATTTGACCAATATCTTACTATAAAGACTGTTTTACAAAATGTATTTATTTAATGTATGTAAATACTTCTCCATTGTTGCATGAGTATTTGTTATTCAATAAGAATGTATGTGATTTGATCGAATAGATTACTAACAAAGCTCTGTTGTGCATTTAATAATTTATCATAATTATTTGTTCATTATGATCAAATTGGGAAAAATATCTCTATTTGTATTAATAAAACTTATCCATGATTGATTTTAGAATTCCTTTTAATTCTATTATATCTCTGCGGTGTATTTTTTTTCTTGGCAGAAATAACAATGGCTCATGGTTATCCTTACTTCGAGCCTGACTTTGTGCATCCCTCAGAATACATCCCTCCACTCGAGTAAGTTTTCTCTAACGTATGTATATGATATGATTAACTACTCTCTTTTATTTTAATTAAATAAAACTTAAAAAATATGAATTTTTGTTGTAGGGTTTGTATTGATAATGAAACGTCCGATGATGTTACTCTTATCAAGGTATTTCAATTTGTCTTTTATTAGCAAAATGATTTTCATTATCTTGCCACACAAAATATTTATAACTATTTATAAAAACTAAATACTTTTTTTTCTTTGTTTTGATTGAATGCAGGTCAATGGTGCAAACAATCACAACATTCTTCTTAAAGTAGTTCAAATTTTAAGTGATTTGGATCTTATCATCTCCAAATCATACATTTCATCCGATGGTGATTGGTTCATGCATGTCTTCCATGTCACTAATCAACATGGTCATAAACTCAATGACCCTACCCTTGTATGCTACTTACAACATTCTCTCAATATTACCCAAAAGGAAGATGGACCTTCAGACCCACCGCATGTAAAAATCAGTCATGGGAGGATAGTGAATTTTAATCATTTTGCTACCACTGCCCTTGAACTTTGTTTCCTTGATCGCCCCAACATTTTCTCTGAGGTCGTCGATGTGCTTTCCAAGTACTCTTATGTAATTGACTCCGGTGAGCTCTGGACTCACAATGGTCGTGTCGCTTGTATCATTTATATAAAGGAACATGACACAAATTTACCCATATTTGATCAAGAACGTTTTGACTATTTGGGAGATTACCTAGCAAGTTTGATGAAAACACATCACTTTCTTAAAGAGCTATGGGAGGTGAGACTACGAAATCCTTTAGCATGTCGGATCCACACAGAGCGGCGACTACACCAGCTATTGCAAGAATATAAAGATTATGAGATAGCCGACAAAGATAATACAACAGAATGTCCATCTCAGGTATCAATTGAGAGCTGGAAGGAGAGAGATTGTTTGGTTGTTAATGTGAAGAGTAAGGATAGACCCAAGCTAATGTATGATACATTATGTGCCCTCACGAATTTAAACTATGAAGTGTTTCAAGGCTTTACTAGCACCAAAGACTCAGTGGCAGTTCAGGTATTTAATCAACTTTGATTTTTGAATCTTTAATTATAAATTTGAACTATACTTTTAATTTTGTCAATGTAGGAATACTTTGTGCGGCGGGTGAATGGGCACACAATGCTTGATGAGGTGGAGAAAAAGAATATGTTTCAAAATTTGGTAGCAGCCATTGAGCGAAGAGTGTCTCAAGTCTGTATTGCTCTTTGTGCTTCTCGTTTAATAAAAATATATTTTGTTAGCATGTTTAATGAATATATGTAAGCATATTTGTTAATGAGTGTAGGGGCTAAAGATGAAGGTGCGCACATTTGATCGACACGGTTTGCTTGCACTCATTACCAGAGAATTAAGAGAGAATAGTCTTTCATTAAAGACAACACAGTTCTCTAAAGATGATTGTTTGGCTATCGGCACTTTTCACATTACTGACGACTCATCGTCGATCAATGCTGACGTTATTGATCAACGAAGACTAGACACTGTTTGCGATAAGATCGGTGCAGACGTTTACTTTGAAAGAAAGACTGATTGCAACATTAGCTCAGTGGATCGCAGTAGATGGAGTTTGTTTTCTAAGTTCTACTCTTTGGGGAAGTGTTTGTGGTCCCACATCAAGAGTTTCTTCAGAAAATTTAGTTTCATTCGATAATTTTTTTTTCTCTCTCATTATTTCTTGAGCGAAGATCAGTTGTAGCAGTTTGTTTATTCTATTCGGCAATTACCAAAACACATAAATCTTTTGGCTACTAATTTGTGCAGTTACAATACAATTTCTTTTTTGTTTATTATCTTCGAAGCAAGCAGACAGTTATGCACAAGCATGAAATCATCGTTTATCAAAATTTTGCGGAAGTATGAAATCGATTTAAATTAAATCAAATCAGTCAAAATAATATTAATTCAAATCATTGAAATGATAATCGGTTCCAATTGTAGACAAAAGAAATAATTTTATTTACTTCGGTTTATATTATATTGTGTAATGTTTAATTTTCTTTACTTGTCCGTCTTACTATAATAAATCTGTAGTAGGAATGAGACTAACATACTTGACATGTATCATTTAGGCCAAAAAATAAGGGAACTTTATACTACAGTACAGGCATGCGTAAAAAATGAAGTATAGATGTTAGATATGTAGATACATAGGAATTGAGTGGTATGTTTGTAAATCTTACCGTCTAATTTCAGTTCACCTATGATATTTGCTTTTGTTAGATTCAAGATGTATTGTTATCTATCTACTCTCCATCAATGAAGTAGTAATGATACTAGATGTTGTGCGGGATGTTATCAATGCCATCCCAGAACTCTGCATGATTGTTGATTTATCAAACACGACGGCATTACCACAGCCGAAGCTCTTGGACACATCGTTGTCTTAAACCTTCTTCTGGGATTCAATACGAGTTTGACGCTGCATTTTGCTTAGGGCTTTTAACGATCCAATTTTGAGTTGAATAGAGGTAAAATTTTGATCTAAATGTTTGACTCGTAACTCAACTCGTTTATATCCATACGATCTAACTCCAAACCAAAATTCAAATCAATTTTCAAGCGATTAACAATCTTTGAGCTAAAGTTTCTAAATCCATAGTTCTAACATTATTAGAACCGTTAAAGATCAGATTTCGAGCCCAACTTGGCTTGAAATTTGTTTGAAAAAAATTCGATGCAATTTGACTCGTAGCTCGGCTCTTTTTTATGGAACGGAACAGATTTTCATTCGAGCCAAAATTCAAATAAATTTTTGTGAGAAGATAAGAAGTGGCGGAATGTACTTCATGCCTTCATATGACTGTGAAGGGAATTAGTTTGGAGAAAGTTGAGGAGCTTCTCAAGTGTGAGTGAGCTCTGGCTAACCAAATTATGAAATAAAATGCAATTTACACTAGATTAATGTATTTAAAATTAATCATTTTTATGTTGAATTAAAAATTGAACTATTATATGGGTATGTTCAGGACAGTTTTTTGTCAATTTGCTTTTCAGACGGCCACTACAGTTTTGCTTGAGATATTATTATTTTATTGTTTTTTAGAAATTTCTCAAATATATTTTTTTTTCATTCCGAGATGTTAAAGTGATAACTGTCAGAAGATAAGTCCTGCCTTTTTAAAATAAAATAAAATTATAATAGTTATCTTAATTTTTTGAAAAAATAATTTATTATGCAATAACTACACAACTGCTTCACGAAAGAGCTGGATCTAGGGCTGTGAAAACTGCTCGTTATTCGTGAACAGCTTGTGTTCGGCTCGTTAAGAAGTCTGTGTTCGATTTGATAGCTAAGTTAACGAGTCAAACACCAACACTTTTTTTCGCTCGCTGTTTGAACTAGCCGAACAGATTTGTTTGTTCGTGTTCGGCTCCTTTTAGCTCGGTATAACTATATATATATATATATATATATATACTATG